GGCTGCAATATAACAAAGAGTGAAAAATTTAAGGGGGTCTGAATACTTTCCGTACCCACTGTATATTAAGCAAAATGCCCCACTCTACAGTTTATTTTTCTATCTGACATGGACAGAATTTGAAATCTGAGACTTTGTTTCATATTAAAAGTACCAACGCACAATGCTTATTGCGATTTATTGGATGGGAAGTAGTACCCTTCAATGTTCCATCCATTAACTGAAAACAGGCAAGACTAATCGATTCTTGGGATTTAAGAATCGATATTGTTCCGTAAAAATGAGAATCGATTAATATCGAGATATCTATATTTTTTACCCAGCCCTACTACTCAGCAGTGTGGCATGATTTTGAACAGTTGGTGTGCATACACTCATAGAAAACTGTGTGTTCAAAATTCATCAGTCCTATTGGTTCTTCAGTGCACAAGCCGTAAGAGCTGCCACACTGTAGGAAAGCGTCTCAAATTTTCTGACACTGCCAGGTCTTCTGAGGCTAAGATTCATGGTAAAGACCATTAATTTGACATCAGTGAACATGTCACACTAGGCTATCAAAGACTCATGGTTTCACCTCACTTTTTTTTTAGTCTTGCTAACTTATTAAAGTTTACAGTATATAAGAACAAATCATTGTATTCATTCTCGTCAAACATGTTGTTATTTACCACTTGGCCAGTATGTGGACACTCCTTCTAATTAACAGCTTTGGCTAGGCCCCTTAATTTCAGTGAATACAAACCTAATGCTTGATGCTGTAGCATTAAAATAACAACAGTTTGTGGAGGGCCCATTTTTGCCTTATTATGATAGATAGCACCCCTGTGCATAAAATGAGATCTCCATAAAAATGATTCACTATGGAAGAACTTGACTAGTCCGCACAAAGGCCAGACTTGAAGGCTACTGAACATCTTTAATAATAATAATAAATTTTATTTAAAGGCACCTTTCAAAACACTCAAAGGACTCCATACAGTTGAGTGACAGTCTTAAAAATCAAGACAACAATACAACAAAACAACAGCTGTTTAACATTAGATCATTTAAAATTGATCAGAGAAAGCTAATCTAAATAAATACGTTTTAAGACATGATTTAAAAGTAGTCAGACAATCACTTTCTCGTATAGATCGTGGAAGAGAATTCCAGAGATGAGGAGCAGCACCGCTTAACACCCTGGACCCCATAATGACTAAACGAACAGAGGGTACAATAAAGGAAACAGATGAAGAAGATCCAAAAGTACACTTCGAGGTGTAGATATGAAGCAAGTCAGAGAGATACGAGGGTGCAAGATTGTGAAGAGCTTTAAAAGTGAGAAGCCGAATCTTGTATTCTACTCGATATTTAACAGGAAGCCAGTGTAAATGATAGAGAACAGGAGAGATATGCTCGATGGAGGAGGTTCTAGTAATTATACGGACAGCTGAGTTCTGGACCAACTGAAGTTTATGAAGGAGTTTGTGAGGTAGGCTAACCCAAACAGAAGAGAGTTACAATAATCAATGCGTGAGGTGACTAGAGCATGTACAAGAATGGCTGTGGAATTGGAGGTGAGGAATGGACAAAGATATTCCGTAGGTGGAAATATGCAGACTGAGTAATATTGTTCACATGCTTTTCAAAAGACAAAGTACGATCAAGGACGACACCCAGACTCTTAACCTGAGAAGATGAATAGTTTATAGAATTATCAATGGAGAGTGAAAAGCTATTTAATTTGGACAAATTGGATTTAGTAGCAACAAGATTCCTTTGAGATGAAAAGGAATGCCTACCGTGAACCAGGACCCATCGCCAACATCAGGGCCTGACCTCACCAATTCTCATGCCTGAATGGGCACAATCCCTGCAACTATGTTGCAACATCTGATATAAAGCTTTCCCAGAAGAGTGGAAATTATTTGGGAGAACCTAAACCCTAACACACTTTACTGTTGTAAGCAAGGACTACTCAACAGAAGCTTTTGTTGAATATTTACCCTCAATATTTATATCTTATCTCACAGAATACAATTAACAAGTACAGAATCCAGTAAAAAAAAATTTAAAAATGTTATGTCATGTCAAAGTCACAGTTTACAAAGTCATACATTTTACAAGCCCTGATCATTAAATGCCCAAAACACATGCTATTGATTTTCTTGAGATGTGGTTTAGTAGTAGGGCTGGTAATTCAGAGGCTGTAGTTGCAAGCCCCATAACCTACGACCCCCAGAAGGGGCGAAAAAAAAACACCACTGTAAGACACTAAATGTCAAGTTACTGCAGGTGGATTACAACAAATGACTGACTTAATTAGCTACACTCTCTGAGTCTATAACAAAATGTAAAGGTACACTTCCCTTAAAGCTTCAGATAAAGAATACGGCCTATTTTAGACACAATGTGTTCTGATAGCTTCCTTTGTTTGTCAAAGTATGACTTGAGTGTGTGTGTAATGTAAGTTAAATGGGTCAAACCATAGCAAAGCAGTGAGCAGAGAATGAGTGAAACAAGTGATTCTTCTCTATTGTGTATCAGAGGGAGTGTGTGTGACGTGTGAGTATACATTACACATTGCCAAGCTGTAATGGCTCATGCATTGTGTTGCTGGACTGGATGACATATGGAAGTCTGGTGAAACATGAGACAGAGGTCTTTCAGTAGAATGTCTAAGTAAAGAGCTTGTCAGGGTTTCGCATCTCTTCAACATTACTGTGATGTAACACTGGCTTCTGGTTGGCCAACATCAAGTTGAATTTCTCTGACATATTATTTGGGCCACAAACAAAAAAATAATAATTATTCGGTCCTGCAGTGACAGTGATCATGGACCCACCCTGGAAAAGGCCTCAGGTAGATGATGGTGTAAAATCCCACACTGCAGGGTGATATTTGTTTACATGTCCATTTAGCAAGTCAAGAGCAGCTGTTATACAAGAAGAGGCAGAAATGATTTGACAAAGGTTTGACAAAATGTATAGTTTGCAAATTATGCACTAGCGTAAAAGTGTTTTAAAGTTATAACATAGTATTTCTCAAACAACCATGCAAAAATAAGTTAGCATTAATCAATAATCTGCCCATGTAATCATAATTTGTGTAAACTGGAATAAAAGTTGTTGAAGTTTTACTGCCACTAATACTTATTTCAGCTGGAAACTGCAGTAAATTGTATGCATACACTAGGTATGTTTTGCAAAAATGTAGGTAGAGATGCAGAGTTCATTCACCTCTCAATCAAAGACTCCACAAAAACCATGATTTAAACTTGGATAAGGCCAACATATTCATGCAAAATGCAAATAATGCCTCTGGTTTGTCTGATATCATTCCATTCTGACGATCTGATGACAGCTGCTCGCATCTCAGCATGTCTAACAGACATTTCTTGCTGGATGAAGAACCATCACCTTCAATTCAAATTTGCCAAGAGAGAACTGCTTGCGGTTTCAACCAACCCAACACTTCATCACAATTTCTCCACCCAGCTAGGCACATCAACCACCTTCCAGGACAGCCAGGAACCTTGGAGTTGTGATTGATTATCAGCTGAATTTCTTAGACCACATTGCGAAAAACTGCCCGGTTCTGCAGATTTGCCTTATACAACATTAGGAAGATCAGGCCCTTTCTATCGTAACATGCTACACAACTTCTTGTTCAAGCTCTTGTTCTGTCCAGGCTGTAATGCTCTCTCTACCAGCCAGTTCTATCAAACCTCTGCAACTACTCCAGAATGCAGCTACAAGATTAGTCTTTAACGAACTGAAAAGAGCGCATGTCACACCTCTGTTCATCAATTTGCACTGGCTACCAATAGCTGCTCACATAAAATTCAAGGCATTGATGTTTGCCTACAAAACCACCACTGGCTCCGCACCCCTTTACCTAAATTCACTACTTCAGACTTATGTGCCTCTCAGAAGCTTGCGTTCTGCAAGTGAATGGCACTTTGTAGTGCCATCCCAGAGAGGCACAACATCACTTTCAGACTTTTACCTTAACTGTTCCTTGCTGGTGGAATGACCTGCCCAAGCACTGGCTACCAATAGCTGCTCACATAAAATTCAAGGCATTGATGTTTGCCTACAAAACCACCACTGGCTCCGCACCCCTTTACCTAAATTCACTACTTCAGACTTATGTGCCTCTCAGAAGCTTGCGTTCTGCAAGTGAATGGCACTTTGTAGTGCCATCCCAGAGAGGCACAACATCACTTTCAGACTTTTACCTTAACTGTTCCTTGCTGGTGGAATGACCTGCCCAACTCAATCCGAGCAGCTGAGTCTTTAGCCATTTTGAAGAAACGTCTAAAAGACACATCTCTCCCATCTACACTTGATCATCTTGAATTATCTTGAATTATCTTGAACAACTTGATTATCACTAGAACTTTCTATTCTATTTCTATTCTATCTACTTGTTTTCTTTTTAATTATTAAGAAAATAATAATAACTTGGTCCTCTAACACTAGCTCTATCTTTCTCAACAAATATTCAGACAAGAGTATGCCAAAAAAGGAAAGACAGTCATACCTATGGAGTCCAACACAAACTGGTCCTGCGTGACTCCCAGAGGAGGCTGAACACACACCGTCATCTTTGGGCTGTGCACTGCACCACGATTCTTTATTTTAACCTGAGAATAAAGCACACATTCAGGACATACTGTATCACATCAGCATTAAAAAGCACTACATGCTCCTATTACACAATGAAAATGTAATATTCTTAATAAACAACAGCGTTAAATGTGCTGCACCCACTTTGACTGTGACAGAGGGGACAGGCATGCCGTTCATCTCAGGTATGACAGCACACTGTGAGAGAGATCATCACAACACAATCACACACTGTGCTCATGAGACAGAAAAGTGTGTGTGAAACAAAACAGTATCCACAAGTACACAAAATCTGACAAAACCTTCTGTTGTGGACATCAAAGGTAAAAATGATCGATAAAGCATTTTCTTGAGTTATGGTTTAAGGTTAGTCTGTAGTCATTAAAGTTAATTTTATAAGAATTTTGTATCAAACAAAGTGATGTGTGTGTGTGTGTGTGTGTGTGTGTGTGTGTGTGAACTTAACTAACGTATAAGTATTTAATAAACTATCTATCTTCAAAACTAAGCTAAATATGACAAAAGGTTTCTTTAGTGACATTCAGGGAAGTTTTCTTTTAGCAGTAGCTTTAGAAAAAAAAGCTAAAAAGCTGTGTCTTTGTCTCAAAAGCTAAACCTGTGTGAATGTGTATAAAAATGATTCATAAATAATAATAAATGTAAAAATAATGTAAGTTTTTATTTAGGGATAAGGTAGGGTTTGCCATCGCCTGCAGTCATTATAATGAGCTTCATATAAAAACAGCAGAATTATATGAATGAGATAAACGTGTTCGCATTTGTACCGAGACTTCATCCAGGTGAGATGAGACTATGGCCGTCAGAGTGAGCTCTTCCTCAGTCTCTGCCCTCGGGAGAATGTCTGGAGAAAGATCACACACAAATTTTTGTGCGACAGAACATTTAGATGTAGAACAAGACTTGATTTTATTAATGTATTTTCAGAAATATAAGTCACATTTTTTATAATCTGTAATGTACTGCACGTTATATTACTGTTAAAGGGGTCATATGATGTTGCTAAAAATAACATTATTACACGGCGGGCTAGAGTGAGCGGCGGCCGGCGGCCTAGAGTGAGCGGAGGCGGGCGGGCTTGCGGCCACCACATGTGACGAACCCGGACTGGACTCTGCAAATCTTCCCACATCATGACGTAGATATGTTGGGGGCGTGTTAGAACGAGCCGATTTAGGTAGGCGTGGTTGACTCTTAACTTTTATAAAGAATATCTCTTTGGATTTGAGACTTTAGTCTTTGCAACTTTACAGATCTTCTTTATGCACCAAGAGCTTGTAACACTTCAAAGAGAAAGGAAAAATTGAAATCGCATATTGAAATCATATGACCCCTTTAACATCTATTAACACACACAGCGTGCATTTATTTTGTCTAAATTCTGTGCATCATACCTTGGGTTTTGGTAGCCTCGCGAATAACCTTTTGCAGCATTTTCATCTCTGTGTCAACCTCATCATAGTTGACCTCTCGGGCATCCACTTTAGGTGCAGTGAAGAAGGAGGGGTCAGTGCCCATGTAAGAGCACTGGAGATGACCATCAGAGCTCAGAGTCACCACCAACCCCTTCAGCTCCCTGAAAACAGAACACATTTCAATGCATGTCTGTCTTTAAACAAAAATATTTTCTGCTTAGACTACTGAAGGTCTCTTACTTCATGATCGGCCAGGGTTGGTTAAGTGATATATTTTTTATTTTTTATTAAAATGCTTTGATAAATAAGACTGAAGGCTAACAGCCATTTATTGTACTGTAGACACATTGTGCCCATTATGACTATTTATGAATATTTTTAGGATTTTTAATAGCATGGTGTGATTGGTTTCTTTCCATGTTTTGTACTGTTGCTTTCTGACTGTATTAGATTGTACTTCTCTACAGACAACATTGTAACTTTGCACTTTTTAATGCTACTTGTCATGTTGTCATGTTGTTTTGGTGTATTTCACATATGATAGTTATGCCTGGATTGTTTTCCCCCAAAAATCAAGACATTAGCTTAATTTATATGACTATAAAGGAAAGTTGTTCACTAGTTTTTCCACAATTTTATTTATTTATCAAAAGTCTTCTATTGATGTGTTAAATATTACTGTAGTAATATATGCAAGTCTAGATTATGTATCATACGAGTATGTTGCACGAATGAAAAATGTTCCCCTCATTATCTGGAAGACTGGTGGATATTTCAAAGTGCTTTCAATAATTTTGACAGATAGAACATTGTATTTCCCTGCTTTCCCATAAAAACTGCTGATAGGGATGGGGAAAAGGAGAAAATTATGTTTTAAAGCACCCATGTGAAAACAAGCCGGGAAAGAGACATGATTGAGGATTTGTGAAGAAGATGAGAGATTTTTACTGCATTCCAGTAATTTATTCAAGGCATGTGTTCATTAAATCGGGAGAGAAGACCACATGAGTCCAGGATCTGTTGTGTTTTTCCTATTGTGTTACAGAAAAATAGAAAAATCAGGAGGAACCGAACACAGCGCACTAAAAATATATTCTTGTGAATTACTTGTATATGTCACATTAAAATATCAGGCATTACAATATTTTCCTGACAGATAAAAATAGAGCCTGACAGGAAATGTATGGCTTATTCAGTCAAACTGATGGATAAGGAATATTTGTAGAACTACAATTTATTTGAAATGCTTTGTTGTGTTCCTCAAACTGCCAACCATAATTTAAAGCAGACTCGTTTGGGAAAAGGTGCATATTGGCATGCATCTAATTTGGATTGCTTCTACTAACAGATGAATTTGCAACAAAATACCATTTGTTTGATTGAAAACATGGGCTTTAACTAAAAGATGTGAAGTGTTTTGTCCTGCCTTGATAAGCCCATTTGTTAACCTATTCTATCTATGTATGATTGTATGGTTAGCTGCATTTTATTATTTATCTTTAATATAGTAAAGTGAGAAAGTGAAGGTGTGAGTGGTTATGTGTGTGTGTGTGTGTGTGTGTGAGTGTGTGTGTGAGTGTGTGTGTTTGTTTATGTGTGTGTGTGTGTGTGTGGAAGGCGAGAAGGCTGCACTGTTGGCCTGCCTCTCTGTGATAGAGACAGACTCGTTGATGCAGCTTCCCTTAAAGGGGACACACTCTCTCACACACATAGAAACAGCCCACACTGCTGTTGTATTGACTATAGTGTTCTGAGGAGAATGGGGTGTGTGTGTGTGTGTGTGTGTGTGTGTGTGTGTGTGCTAGAGACGTGAACCAAGACAAGCACATCAGCTCATTTAGGTGGTGCTGACAGACGCTCTTTTAATGTGAGGCCAGTAGAAGAGAGACAGGACGGACAATGGCAGAGTGAGTGACCTGTGCAGGATGGCCAGAGAGACCAGTGCAGTTAAACACTCTCTCTACAGACGTATCTGTTACCTCTACATATGAGAACCACTCTAAGCAAACCCACAAACACTGAATGCTTTAAAGAGACATAGCGCAGACACAACCTTGAGAATGATAGCATATACCACACACAGCAGCTCATATTCAGTCTAACTTAGAACTCTAAGAATGGATGTTAAGGAGATTAAGGACAGACAGGAAAGATTAATTTGGGCAGCGCTCACTTACGGGAAGTTAGCGACACGTACAGCCACAGGCACACAGGACAGCTGGGACGCCCACTTCAGCGTCAAATCCTGGTACACCAGCAGCATGTTGTTATGGTTACACATCAGGATGTTGGTGGAACCCTCAGAAACTGAAGACAAAGCCAGAGAGAAGACAGCTGAGTATGAAGGAGGAAGTGTGTTTAGATGGTCTGTGGTTTCTGGGCCTCACATGGAGAGTCAATGCAGTAGTTAAATGATAGACTGCATCCACTTCCAAACCACAAGACGTCTATCTCTCACTTTCCTACAAGCCAACACCCCTCTCACCAACACACACATATACACATCTCCGTTCTGTGGCCAAAATGAAAGAAAGGGTCGGCCATCATGCTTCCGATGTGAACACTGTCATTCATTGATATGGGCAGCGACAAAATGCGAAAAACTGACTTTAAAAAAAAAGTATTTATCATTGAATCATCAATTCAAGAGATTAATTCTCAAGCGTGGGTTTCCATGTGCTATAGAAGTTTAAAGGGTTAGTTCACCCAAAAAATTCTGTCATTAATTACTCACCAATCTCCTTGCTACGTTTCTGGACTTGGGAACATTTCAGTTGTATTGCTGTCTATGCAGGGTCAGACAGCTTTCAGATGCCATCAAAAATATCTTAATTTGTGTTCCGAAGATGAACGAAGGTCTTACAGGTTTGAAACGACATGAGGGTGAGTAATTAATGACAGAATTTTCATTTTTGGGTGAACTAACCCTTTAAACAGCACAGCATGAAGAGTTAAAGGCAGTATAGGTCACCTGATCCGTAGGGCAAGAAACAGCTGGGGTTGAACTCCAATTTCTTCATGAAGCGGATCTGACCATTATCCTTGAGACAAAAGAAATTTCTCTCCCCCAGCACAAAGATGGAGGACATCGCTGAAGATGTGCTGGGAACACAGATATCTAGAGCCTCTTCTCCTAACACCAGTGTCCAGTCAGCCTGAGGTCAAACATACACACAGTCATATCCAAAGGCAAATACTCACACTGGAAACAGTAGCACTTTCAATCGGCAGGAAACGCACCGTCAGTCTCTTCCCTGAGCTCTTGCTCTGCTGATCAGAGTCTTGTCTGGTGTCTGCATCTGTGGCTACAGCCAGTGTCTCATACCTGCGTTTTAAAAGAGAAGACGATGTTAACTGCACCAATTAATCTAAACACAGAGACACTGGAGATTGTTCAATGCATCAATATTCACTTCACCAGAACAACGATGCACTGAAGGTTTCTTGTACACAAGCAGTCCATTTCCCATGACCCTTACCTTGACCTTTTCAACAAGAAAGATAACGCACTGTAAAATCATACAAAAGTGTCTAATTCTGACATAATCTGTTAAAATGATATTCAAATAATTGTTTTTGTAATTATTTAGTTTTAGATCATTATTTTTACTAGTTTTCTATGTTATAGACATATCCAAGGACTTGCTGAAGGGTTGTAAAGGTTGAAAAACCTTATATAAAACAAACCTAAGACAAAACCATTCATTTAATATTTTGTTCGACCCCCTGAAGTGGATGATGGACCTCCTCGATGGGAGTTTCTAGGTCAATTTAGTACCCTATTCTTGGAAAGTGTTTTGTCTCAAAAGAACAAGAAAATCCTGTTTTGAATTTGCAAAATGACCCCAAATTTCTACTGAATTGCTCTAGGAATGTTGGGTGGGTCTGGGGAAACGTTTATAGCAATGAGACACAGCAGTGATTATTTAGCTTTGTGAGCATGTTCGGAGTGTGCGTGTGTGTGTGCACATGTCTGGAACTGTATTCAGAAATCACTGACAGTCCTCCAAAGCTATCATCAGGTCATGAGGAGTATTATGGGAATCAAAGGCTCTGCTGTCTCACCTCAGCTCAGATCTCCATTTTCAACAGCTTTAGCCAGATTGTGAAGATCATATTTCCTTCTTAAAGGTTCAGCTAAAAACAAAAATTCTATCATCATTTTACCCTCATGTCGTTCCAAACCCATAAGCCTTTCATTCATCTTCGACACAGAACTGTGTCGATACTTTTCATGAAACCTGAGAGATTTGTGTACCTCCTTTGAAAGTCCATTCACCCAAAACTTTGTCGTTCAAAAGAACATTGTAAACATAATCCATATGAATCAAGCGGTTTAATTCAAGTTTTCTGAAGAGACACAATCACTTTATATAATGAACAGATTTAATTTAATCTTTGATTCATATATAAATACTGCACAACGCACATACATAGAGCACATCAAATATGGTAATCGGAAACTCAACTGAACTTGCCTGACATGCAAGAACCAATGCGATTTGTTAAATTGAATTAAAGCTGCAGTCCGTAAATTTTGCCTCTTTGTCGCCATCTCTGTTTGAAAACCTGGAATTGCAGCTGGGTGTGGAATTATCTAGCTTGCGTGGGTTGTGCTCCGGCTCCAGCGCGGATTAATCTAATGTTCTGAAGAGTATGTGTGTGGCAGTCAGTCACTGCACCGGTGTGGATATTTACTGTACTTCGCAATCACAGATTCTAGCCTACGTCTTGGAATATATGACCCAAATAAGAATTTTCACCATATATTGCCATCTGAACAAGTAAGTAACAAGTCTGCCATGTTTGTTCTGACCAACTGAGGAACCAATGGTGATTAAATCTAAAGATCGGTTAGCTCATATCACATCAAACCGTTCAAATTATTATTATTGTTATACTTTATTCTCAAATGATTTATGTTAACAACATCAGCATTGGTGACTATGAGTATTGTGTATTAGTATTAGATTTAAATTTCTGCACAGTCTAATCTAATTGTCATACTCTTCGAATTTCATATTAAGAAATTATTTTAACCCAAAAAGCAAATTATGCTCCCTTCGAACTGGTTTTCTTTCAAATACAAATCTTTGTAATCCCAGGCTATCTGTAATCAGAAGCATATTTATAACTGGAATATAATTTAATTTCATTCACATGTGTTTCATAAACACATAATCCTTTCTGGATTACAATCCGCCATCAAAATGATACATTTAATTATTCTGGCTGCTGTGAGAAAAGGCTATAAACGATCCGCCACCTGCAGGATCCTCACATGCGATAGCCTAGTAGCCGGGACAACTTCTTTATGTTTACAGAAGTGACGTAATGACGCAGTGCCATGCTCGAATTTCCCGCAAAAAACTACCCGTACCACTCAAATTAGAAAACATTATTATAAGCTAACC